ACCACCACGTCCAAGTTACAACAGCGGGCGAAACTCTGCCGAATCAGCACATAGCTCGAACCCCGATCTTATAGCGCCTGCGCCACGCGGCCTTGCTGCCCGACGTCAAGAACGCAACTTGTCCCTCGACATCAGTCAAGCCGTCTCTTCGGGTTCCGGCGCGATCAATCCGGACATCTCCCACAACCCTACCGAAGGCGGGCAGGGTTTCGACTTCGGTTTCCCGTCGACACCCACTGAGTTCCAAAAGAACCTCATGCGCTTCGCGTTTCTGCCTGCGGCCGTCAAGAAGAAGGATGGCTGGAGCACCGAGTACGGACGCCCGGATATACCATATCTGCTCAAGGGACTGAGCAAGAACTTTGGGCGCAGAACGTGTGTGTTCGTTTGTGGACCCCCCACCATGCGCGTTAGCGTGAGTGAGACGATTGCGCAACTGCAGAGGAGTGTGTGGAGTGACAGTGGGCGCGATGAGATTTTCCTCCACGCCGAGAACTACGCCTTGTAAGGCGTGGGTGTACTTTTCTTTACCTTCATTTGTGCATAGCGTTTGGACGGCTTGGTGTATATACCCCCTTTCTTTTCTTTTCTTTTTATACCTCTGTATCTGTACGATGATCGACGACGTTAGTATCTGTCGCAGCTAGAGACTATCGAATAACATCTTGGCAAGTGGTTGTAGCATTCGAATAAGCCACCTCACAGATAATGCAGCCACGAAAGGGCTGTGTTGTATGTTACGTAGTTTCTTCGAGTGCTACAACTATCTGTCTGAGATGATACAATCAGTACTTTTACAGTGCATATGTTAGGATTGAATCTAGAATAATCCAAAGATCAGCTTACTCTGTCTCAACGAATAATTAAGTTTGCTTCATTGACTCCAGAGAGTTTGCATAAAATCTGACACGGAATGTACGCGTTCAGGAGACATTGTGCTAGCATTGCCTGGCATGCATTCAGCCTCGGCAAGACGACATCCACCAACGCCATGGCGAAGCACCGCGTGCCATACCACGGGCAGTAGGAACATGGAGGCTTGATACTTGGAGTGCTCCTCCAGCGGCACATGGTCGTCACGCTCTCATACCATTGTCACCTTCTGCATCTGGTTCGCCCACGGTCTGCCAGGAGTACCCTACCCCTCCTGATGCGAGCTGGTGGGGTCAACATTCACCCATGAACCTCGCGGCACAATCAATGCATCCTTGTCGCTGATTGTGGAGAGGGTGTGGGTGCGGAGACACTATCCCGCGCTTTGATGGGCGTGACAAGTTCGAGTGCGGCACAGCGCTATGGTCGTACGGGCGCAAAAGCAAGCAGTCGTGGTTCAGCGGCATGTCGCAGTGGGTGAAATCGCTGACCGCCTGCTCGCCCAGTGCGATACGCGCTGCGTCGCGGATGTCAGCGTGTGCAGCTTGGGCGACAGCTCAGGGCGGCTGCGTACGGGCGCATGGGGACGGCAGTACATAGGGCTGCAGCCGGCTAAGAGGAGATGAGGGTGTGGGATAGATGGGCGTTCGCAGGCCTTTGCTTTTTGGTGAGAGGGTTTGAGAGCCGGACTGGCCGCTTGGCGCATCTCACTCGCCCTTTGATCCCAAACCACATCAGCGTGCATATTTCCCCTTCCTCCTCCACGCAGGCCTGCTGTAACGTTTCCCAGCAGTCGTAGCCCACTAGTAACAATTGCTCCGCCCGCATCCTCTCCAGCCGTCACACACGCGGAAGCCAGGGCGCAGACTTCCCGATCGACCATGTTCTTAAGATAATTATGTGCACATGTCCGCCATCCCAGTGTCTGACCTGGGCCTCAACTCGAGCGAGAGCAGATATCTCCAGCAGCAAATTGCCGCCTCGCAGCAAGGCTCCAATTCCTCGCGCGCTGCCTCTCACGCCTCCAGCCAAGGCCGTCTCCTCCTGGATCCTTCTAGTTTGCAGGCGCTCAGCGCCCACTTTGACCGTCTGATGTACTCCATCCAGCAGCGCTGGCAGTATGTGAGTTGTCATGTTCATAGCTTCACACGGTGTCGATTGTTAGTGGTGTAGTACTGACAATGGCCAGCTCACCCAGCAGACACAAACAGCAACCCAAATACAGTACGACCGCGCCGGCAACGCCATGCAAATGGCCGACGCTGAAATCGCCCGCTTCCGTGCCATCCTCCGCGAAATCGACGAGCTCCAAGTAGAATTCGACAAAGTCCGTCGCATTGGAGAGATTGTCAAGGGCTTCAAGTCGCGCGTCGACCGTCTAGACCGCCGGATATGAACGCATTCCAGTACGCTGGACCGGCACCTCCCAGTACCACAAGCTACCTTACACCCACCAACCTACCTACACTCCTTTACCGCTACGAACAGACATACCTCGTCCCCACGGATACCCACACTATACCTACTAAGAATGGAAAGCCTCGCGGCATGGAAAACACTGGGGGATACCTGAGAGATTGAAAAGCCCCACGGCTCATGGCGTTTTGGTCGCGTTTTGCAGGATCCTTTGCTTTTGGGAATACCCACGTCTCGTTTTGCGCATGTCTCAGTTTGCTTCGGATGCCGTACCCTTCTCGTGTCGTTTGTGACACTTTGGATTGCTTCTTTTGGATTGTTGCGTATTGCTGCGAACCACCGCCTGTTGTACGTCATTGTGGATCGCTGTTGCACGACCCGATACCCTGTCCAGCTTCCGTATGTATGCTTTGCCCCTTTGAGTAATTTGCAACACCCGCTTCGTATTCTTCTCTTCTTGGTGGATAAGACGAACATCGCACCGATCGGTGAATTGTTCAGTCTCTTCTTGCTGAGTGATGTTGATGAGGCTTCTTTCTTGAACTCACGTTGTCTTTCTCCATTGCGCGTCGAATAGCCTACTACTTTATGTTCTTCCAAATGGCACAAGGATGTTGCTTCAAGAATGCAGTGACCAAATGAACCTTCGATGCATCCATCTTACAGCTCAATGTCCGTGTTGCCGTAGACATTGATCTCGGACATGTACATATAGCTGTGGTGGCACGAGACAAAGCTTAGTCGCAAGCAGCTACAGCACTTCGCGCAAGCCCAGAAGGCCGCACTACCTCCATATAATTCTAGAGCATCACAGTCCATCACACATATTCACGAACACTGTCTCAATCGCCATTTGTACGTAAACACATGCATGTCTCTTTCGAGTTTAGGCCCCCTGATAGCCCTGGGCTAACCTGACATGGCTAGGCAGCCCTGCATCTACTTCCGAGGTCCCTTGGCTGTTAAGTTGGTACTGCCATCACCTTACCACACTGAGCAGCACCTGGGCTTTATGCCGGACATCTAATTTACATCATTCATTGATATCCATATGTCCCTATCATCCTCGTCCCGCCCTAGAAAAAGGGTAGATCCAAGCGTGTGTTTGTTCCGTTGACCGTCAATTGCTAACGCCCATGGGGTCCGGGGATGCATCAATCAAACGGCTAGAACGGCCCTGTTCAGGCGGACAATTAGGCCGTATCTGGCCTTAGGGGACGGGCGCAGCAACTATGATGGCTATCATGCAGCCACCCGTGAAGAAGGAATGGGCTGGGCAGTCTCGTCGCGTTTTCGCACGGTGTCCTCTCTCGACTTCCTGTTAAACATTATGGGTTCGTCGCTATGCCCAAACTTCTTACGCGACCAGGGAGCCATCCGCTACGCTCACTATCGCGCACAGCGCAGTCGCACTGGAAGTTGATCTTGGCTATCGCTTCTTTGTTGCTCGTCGAAGCATACGTCCACGTACACAAATACGATGTCCCCCGCCCCTCGCCGCCCCTCGATGCGCCCTTCTACACAGGATGCCAGGACCCCGTCCTGAATACGACCGCGCGCGAATCTGCCGTGTTCATGATGCTCGCGCGCAACTCTGAAGTCAAGGGTGCAGTTTCGAGCGTGCGAAGCGTGCAGGAGCAATTCAACGACAACTTTGGGTATCCCTGGGTTTTCCTGAACGACGAGGAATGGACTGAAGACTTTAAGCGGAAGGTGGGCAAGGCAGTCGGAGAAGGCGCAGACGTCAAGTTCGAAGTCATTCCCAAGGAGATGTGGGGGTATCCCGAATGGATCGACCAAGACCGCGCGAAGAAGAGCATGCAGGATATGAAGAACCGGGGTATACAATACGGAGGACTAGAGAGCTACCACCATATGTGCCGCTTTCAATCTGGGTACGTCGCATCGTCTACCTCAAGCCTCTCTCCCATACCCAGCGCTCAACACTGACAGCAACCCCACAGCTTCTTCTACGACCACCCCGCCCTCCTCCCCTACAAATACTACTGGCGCGTCGAGCCCAGCATATCCTTCACCTGCGCCATAACCTACGACCCCTTTGTCGAAATGGCGCGCCACAAGAAACGCTACGGCTACACAACCGCCCTCTGGGAGCGCGGCCAAACCGTCCCCTCGCTCTTCCGCAAACTCTCCCTCTTCAGGAACGAATACCGCCTCCCCGCCTCCACGCTCTGGACTGCCATGATCGACGCAAGCTGGATGCCGTGGCCTTTTCGTCGCATGCTGGCTGCGCTGCGTAATAGGGATGAGCGGGGTGATTTGTGGAATATGTGTCACTTTTGGTCAAACTTTGAGATTGCGGATATGGATTTCTTCCGTGGAGATGCGTATCGAGCTGTCTTTGACTACCTAGACCGTGATGGCGGGTTTTACTATGAGAGATGGGGTGATGCGCCTGTACATTCGCTGGCTGCGGCTATGTTGTTGCAGCCGCAGGAACTGCATCATTTTAGCGACTGGGGATATATACATGATGACTTGCAGGTTTGTACTTTTGCAAGTACAGAACAGGAGAAGGCGAGGGGAATCAAGATACCGAAGTATGAGGATAGTGATGGGGATGGAAGGAAAGAGCTGGGGTGCAGATGTAAATGCGATGATAAGGCTAGGATTGTAGAACCGGTATGCTTGAATAGAATTGGGCTGACGACTGGATAGTCGTCAAGTGCCCTGTGTACTTGGCTACCTCGTTACGTCCCGTCCCGTTCTTGGTCTATGGGGTGTCTGTACTCTGGTGGTGTCTCTGTCTCCGCCCATTGGAGATCCACATGCCCACCCGACTTCACCACCTCTTCAGTGATGTCGTTGCCGTTGATGACGAGCTGGCTTCCAAACTTGATCCACTCATCAGCTCCACGTATGCGAGCCCAATAATGCCCATCTCGCCGCCCACCCGCGATTTCCATTCCACAGATCACCAAGTCCCACTTGTCCGCTGCTATGATGTGGATACCCTGGACAACAGTTCCTTCGTCGTAAGTACCTGCGCGCACCCGATTGACTGTAAAACGTCAGCTACATGTCTCATATATGTGAAAACACTCGTACATCTAATTGTTCTGAGCGCGACATGACGCTCGAGCTCAGCCTCAAGCTCCTCTCTGAGGGCGAGTAGCTTCGCGGTTTCCAGAATCGTCCGGTAACCTGTGCGAACCATCATGAATAGGGCAAGCGCTATAGCCGAACCGAGCCAGGCGATTGGTTCGAAATTAAGGAGGGCTAACACAAGGCGTGTACATCTCGCAGGTAGATTGGTGATGAAAGTCCAGAAGTTGATGCATCGTAGTAGGATGCGAGCCAGAAACCTCAAGATAGCCATCACAAGAGCTTCTAGCATGGTGAAGATGGTGGATGTTGCTCTTTCCGGTAGCCGTAGGGTTCTTTCGTTTTGCGCAGGAGAATGAGAGTTGGAGTACTTCTTGGTCGTGATCGAAGAAGGTGAGAGCAATAGCGGGGACTAGCCAATGAGCACCGATCGTATGGTTTTCTTATTCACTTGAGCAAACGGTCTGGTGCGATCCTTTCGTAACCTAGCCATATTGCTAGTACGCATGTGTGAAGTTGGCGTAATTGTACGGGCACATGCACGGTACTGTACGGAATCCGGATCGAAAGTTTCACTGATGAACTTGGGTGAATACGTTTCTGGAAACAAGAGGTGGGTAAATCCTTCCTAGTGTATACAGAGGCAGAGTGGAGAGCGATTAGACGACCAGATGCGTCAAGCCGTGATGTTCGACGATCAGTATCTCCGTGCTCTTCCTTCTTTGAACGCCCCAGGATCATTCAACAGCATACTGCGCACGTCATCCATGGTAAAGCCTTTGTGTCTCTCACAACAAGCCTCCATACATCGTAATATCTTTCTTGGCCATTCCACATATTTCGACCATTCTCCACTTTCATCATCGTCTATAGCTGCCATGATCAGAGCATTCCATTGAACAGTCGCTCTTGTAGGAGTTTTCAAAGCCATTTTTGGAGCAGCTAGTGACGACAGAATGAATCGTACGGCGCAAAAGTGGGCCATGACGACGTTGCCGAGCTGATTTGTACGGTCAAACATGCGCATGAGTGCTTCGTGTGGCCAGGTTGAGAAGATGGTGAGGATGACCATCATAGCTGCAAAAGACCGGATGGGGTATGGGGCGCCAGGAAGAGGATCCGTAACATTCTCCCAGTCGATGTTGTCGAACACGAGCCCGAAGTCTTGTGGTAATATCGGGTTAGCGAACGGAAAGAGACCCAACGGCGAGTCACGAGGTATTGGAAGTTCGTCAGTTTCGATTTCCAGGTCCGAGTGCAGCAGGAGTCGAAGTGTTTCGGTGAGCTGGCCAACAATGGCCTTCTCGATGGAATGTATACCAGTTCCATCCATTATGCTGGAAAGGGATTTCAAAGACAGTAGAGCCTCTTGCAAAAGTTCCTGGTCGACTTCAGGAAACTTGGTAAATGCGGTGTCCATAGCTATAGTGTCCAGGCCTTTCTGTGTAGAGAAAGGGCTGCGAAAGCCTTCGCCTATGATAAGCTGAGAGAGGAATGAGCATCCCCGCAAGGACAAAAAGTGGTCAAGAAAACCGTCACCTATGTAGCTTGACTGGAAGCACAGGAGGTAAGAAGTTGCTAACATGATATACGATTCCTCAGCCGTCGGGGGCCAACTAGCGAAGGCGTCCTCGAGGCCAACAATGGCTTTTTGTCGATGTTGGACCGCCAGGGCAGTCTGTGGATTTTCAACTTGAACGGCAAGATGAGATCCAGCAAGAGCCAGCATAGCATCCATGAGATATGGGTACTGCGTGGTCAGTGATGTTAGGTCTCTTGCACGGTGAGCGAGAGGTTGCACTCACTTTATGGCACGCTGCCGGAACGTCTGTGACCCAAAGCTCTTCCCAGTCGTGCGGGATCCAAGGATGTGCTGAGACGAGATAGTGATGGAACAGCTGCATATCTTCTGAGCTGTAGATAGTAGGTGTGTCGGAAAGCTTAACAACTTGACGAGGACTTGACACTGCCGACTCGATGTAGTCACGCCGTGCGTGCTTGAATACATCGGGGTATCTGCAAACCACTAGAATAGTTGGTGAGATATTGATCTTAGTTCGCAACGCCACACTTACGTCCGCGCTTGTCGCAGTTCGCGCATGAAGGCCATGTCTCTGGACACTAACATAGTTTAGTGATATGACGAGGCACTGAGAAGTGGATGCGGTACCTTGATCTTGCGTCGCTTGCACGGGATGCAGCCCAGACGACTTTTAGTGTGCCCGCGTCGCTGTCGTAACCCTGTCGGTGCGGGTGTGTCGCCGCTAGAGGCGGTGGTGCTGCTAGATGTGAGTTAGGTATAGTTTTGTGCATTGCGTGAGAAGCGTACGATTGGTCAGATCCGTTCACATTGTTTTCTTTTGGTAGTATGGGTTGCTTCGATACTCCTGCATGGTGTATCGTTTGCGGAACATCGTCAGGTGCTTTGGGATCGTTGGCAGGAACGCTGCTCCCAAGGAAGTCGCCTATGCCGTCCAACACAATGTAGCCATCAAACAAATCGTCCATGACTGCAAGTGTGCCGAGTAAAGAAATAGACGTGATGCTGCAATCTACATTATTCCATGTCACCGGTGGTGTTGCCTGAATCGACTGGGATGATGCCAAGCCGTCAAGGTGTCATCGTTCGCTGGAGGCCTTGTAGTCGGAACGTCGGCGTCAGCGGCGCTGGATCCGAGCATTACAAAGACAATTGACGCTAGAGGCCATGAACTCTGGGTGCGTGCATGTCTTCTCATACAAATGTATGCATGAAGCGGAGGCATAAAGGAGCTTGAGACGTCGTCATCTTGACAGGGTACTGGTCCCGCATTGGCCTCGCGGACGCAATGTCGCGTGAGAAAGTCGCGATGCCTTCAGCGAGTGCAATGGCGGGAATGTTGGGTCAATGTCACGTTTTCCATGAGCAGAGTGAAAGTGGAATCTCGTGATGATTTGAAGTCGTTGTATGGATCCATGGATTACGCATGAGGTTGCTGTGGGTCGGCAGACCTGACGGTGCAGAAAGCGTTGGATGGGTTTCTCCCTTGTCCGCCCAGTCGGGTGGTTAGCCGCAAGTGACGTCTCCCCTTCACCAGCACCGCCGTTCTTCTTACCAACACCGTGGCAATCTCCACGCGGCGCCTCAGCATTCACCTCGCCATCCGCACGCAGCCTCGACTGGCTTACCAAGCGCCTGCGACTCTTCCCATGTGCTGCCTAATAGTGGAGTGAGGAGCACGCCCCACCAGCCACGCCCAAGCCCAACCAACGGCTGAGCACTCGAGCACGCCCAAACCTCCTCCAATTCCGCGCTCGAGGTCGCGAAGCACGCCGCAATGCCTTCGATTCTCTCCGACGAGGACAAGCAGACGGTCAAGCGCACCGTGCCCAAGTCGGCCAACAAGATCCACACCGTCGCCGTCGCCAAGTTGTACATCGCCTACCCGGACCGGCACCGATGGACCTACACGGGCCTGCAGGGCGCCGTCGTGCTGGCCAACGACCTGGTCGGCAACACCTTCTGGCTCAAGATGGTGGACATATCGGTAGGTGCGAGGGACGCCACAGCACAGAATGCACGACTGACGGATGCAGCCCCAAAGTCGCGGTGTCATCTGGGACCAGGAGATCTACGACACCTTCTCGTACAACCAGGACCGCGTCTTCTTCCACACCTTCGAGCTCGAGGACTGTCTCGCCGGCCTGTCTTTTGCCGACGAGAAGGAGGCCAAGACCTTCAAGAAGAAGCTCGACGACCGCGAAAAGAACGCCCACAAGAACACCAAGAACAAACCCTTCAGCGCATCCGCCGGCACCAGCGCGCCCGCAGCCAACGGAAAGGGCGGAGGCCATGGCCACGGCCTGCTGGGAAGGCTCACCGGACGTGACCGCCATTCTTCCTCACCTGGCCCGCCGCCAGCGTCCATTATTCCACCCGTCAGCGTCACATCGCCTGTGCAGAGCACCCACTCCAACGCCACAAGCGCGCGCAACTCTGCCATCGACACCACCGACCCATCATGGCAGCCCCTGTTGAAGGAACTGCTGGCCATGGGCATCACCGAGGACCAGATCGAAGAAAACGCCGATTTCATCAAGCTATACATCGAGCAGCGGAAGCAAGAGGAGAAGCTCAAGGACGAGAATAACCAGCGCAAGTCCAGAGCGCCCCCGCCTCCACCACCGAGCGCGCCTCCTATGGCCGCATCTCTCAGCCCTCAGAACACAGGTGGCTCCAAGCGAGGACCTCCGCCCGCGCCTCCGCCAGCGCGAAGAACGAGGACAGACGCAGCCCTCAATCGCAACTCCTCGGGAAGCCCCGCGCCGCCATCACCACCGCGCGAAGCTTCACCGTCTCCAGGGCCGCCCAAACCAGTCTTCAGGGCGCCTCCACCACTTGCGGAAGCAGGGAAGTTCGCCAATTTACCTCCTGCACCACCAGGCAGGTCGCGAGCCTCATCCAACGCAGCCAACCCAGGTCCTCCACCGCCGCCGCGCCCGCCCAAGACACCCGTACCCGACGAAGAGAGGCCAGTGGGAGGCAAGTTCGGTGTACCTCCGCCCTTCACAGGCAACCGCGTACCTTCCGGCCCACCTCCACCACCCCCAAGCCGAGGGCCAGTTCCTCCACCGCCTCCCGCGAGAGACACGCCATCCGCGCCTCCTCCGCTCCCGCCCAAGACATCGGCAGCCCCGACACCACCGCCTGTCCACAACATACCACCGCCTCCTCCGCTACCGCCGTCTTCATCTCGACCTACACCAGCACCCCCTTCGAGCGCGGCACCAGTCCCACCGCCTCTACCTCCAACAAGCAATGTAGCACCAACACCACCACCTCCTCCGCCGCCGATGCCCGGACGATCGATTCCCCCTCCTCCACCGATGCCCAACAGCTCAGCGCCTCCTCCACCCCCTATGCCAAGCACAGGCGCGCCGCCGCCACCGCCAATGCCTCCTGGCTCTGTGCCTCCTCCGCCGCCCCCAATGCCTTCACGAAGCGCTGTGGCACCACCTCCACCTGGCCCACCGCCCCCACCAAGCGGCGGCGCGCCTCTGCCCAAACCAGCGCCAGGGCGAGACGGCTTGCTAGCGGATATTCGAGGAGGAGCGAGATTGAAGAAGGTTTCGGATACAGAGAAAAAGGACCGCAGTGCAGCGGCAGTTCCTGGCGCGGAACCTGCTGGAGGAGCTTCTGGAGGAGCCAGTGGCGCAGCTCAACCTGGAGATGCTGGATTGGCTGGAGCACTGGCTAGTGCTCTTGCGGCAAGGAAGTCAAAAGTTAGTCACAGTGGTAAGTACAATCATTTTTGCTGGATTAGCAGTATATTGACGTGTTTACAGACGATGAATCCGACAAAGATGATTGGTAAACGTGCAGAATTCAGAAGTAGCGACAAATCAACAAGCCAAGCCAACCACGACCTCATCCCAACGCCGAGGCACCTGCGACACCCAGTCAGACGATATGAGGATGTGGAAAGAGTTATGAGAACGTGTCTCTGGGTGATCCACAGTGGCAGGAGCGCCAAAATCAATATCAAGAGAAGAGCCACTTGGCTGATTGGTGTGAGAGAGTTAGTTGATACCAAGAATGATAAAGTATATTCTTCGTCTTCAAAACCATCGTCTTCACCTCTTGGACACTGTCTCGTGCCCTATTAGCTCTCCTGCCTTCGCAAGCCGAATCATCACATTCTTAGTCCTCTTGACTTCATATCCACAAGCCACCAACAGCGCAACCTCTAGACACACATCTGCCTTTAGCCTCCCCTCTTCCCCATATCTAGCGTAAAACTGTTCAGGTCGGCACATGTACTCTTGACAGCATGTCGATAGTGCTGCTGCATGACAAAGTCGGTGCAGCTTATCCACCGCGTAGAAGTCCCATAACGGAGGTTCTTCCAGGCTTCCAATGTATTCATAAAACGGCGCGTGATGTAACCTAGATAGACTCTCGGCTACTGTGAGACAATTCAGGAGACGCGCAGCTAGCTCTTGAGAGACGATAGGGAGCTTTGTTGTATGAGCTGTGTTCAGAATCGCAGAGGTAAAGAGGGTGGTATGCAGGCCAGATTGGCGTTGGATATGAGACCACCAAAGGAGCAAGTAGGTGGATGATGTACGAGGGAAGTGTTCGAGTGTTATATTGGTGTTGAGAGCGTGTAGGACTTCTTTGTTGAATATCCCTGGGATATGTATTAGTTGGTCCGGTTTTGCCTCAGTGTCTTTGTGCAGAGCAGAGACTCACGGCATACAAGTCGCAGATTAAGTGCTGGTGTGAGCTCGTCGGACGGAGGGGTGTCTTCGTTTATGAGCTGTAAAACTGTGTAATCGATGATGATGCTCCACAATTCCGTAGGGAGGGCGACAATGCATGCGAGTTGTGGTGTAGGTATTGGGATAGGTGAGGCTTCATGCGTCAGGTTATTTAGAGGCTTTCGAACGAGAGACTTGAGGAGGAGCATAGTGTTCATGATGAGTATTCTTGAAAATGTTTTCTTGTGTTCAACCGAAGAGCTGCCGTCTACACATTCTCGATTTGTGGAAGGAGCGACGGGTAGCCAAGCACGGACGCGTGTTCGATGGCCAGGAAATCAGGCACCAGGATTCGTTAACTCTGTACCATCGCACTCGCGAGGTGGTAAGCCCAGCATGCTCTTGCACCGCAATGTATCCTGATGGCAAAACTTTGGGTTCTAGGACTTTGTATATTTTTCTGCAAGAACGATATTATATCAGCCCCGAGATCCCGATCTCAATCTTCAATGGCTTCATGGGCGGTCTTTGCGCTATCAGCTCCCCAGCCGTATACACCATTCGCATGATTGAGAGAGCGCGAGAAAAGGCGAGACTAGCGCAAGAGGCGAAAGAGAGGTTAAGACAGATTCCGCAATCATGTCTCAATGGTGTCGAAACTTTGCCGGTGGAGCTGTGGAGTCAGATCATTCATTATCTCGTGGACCCATACTTGCAGTACAAAGAGCGTCAATGTTATGACATGCGTAAGGTGCTAGAGATGCGGCTCGTGTGTCGTGAGTACAGAAATGCATTGACTGCAACGTCCAAGAACTGATCCTTAGACTAGATGCCTTTGATAAGGAGATACAGCGAGTGTTGCATCAGCACCTGACTCTATCCCAGCTGCTGTACCGTTCATTCATCATATATGACATACAGAAGCAATCGAGACTGGATCGTTCCCTGCGCGATGCTCTTCTTGCATCGGCGTTGTACCGCGAAACGCAGCTTTACTCTGAAGACGGCATAGCACATTTCATGGCACACCGTATCAAGAACTGCGTCCTTGTCGCCCAGCATCTATCGGCCGA